GCTACGGTACGAAAAGTGCAAAAACGTATAATCGCTCCGGCCCGCCTGGTGCGTTCCAGCCTGGGTCTCAGACACATCTACATCTTTCACACTCAGTGGGACCTTGTAACTGAGGATTTCTTCAGTGCTTTTAGGTGAAATAGTAAAATTTTTCGGAGTAAGCTGTTACGAATGATTCTGAATCCATTACGCTACTACATCTGTAGCGAAAACGCTAAACTGTTTGCTCAAGTATCTCACTTTTGAAAGCGCTATATTTAGGAGAGTGATTTTTTGGCTGCAAACCTTCTAAAATTAAAATTTTGACGCTTAAAAATGATATATGATCTAGGTGGTCATTGTGATGACTGGTGTGATCACTGCTCAAGCACTGTTTTTTACTAAACCGGGACGTCTCGCCCATTTTGATTCGTAATGCGAACTTATCCCATCCTTCAACAAAAAACTGAATTGTCTCGAAAAGCAATGAAAGCTAAAATGAACCGAATCGAGTCAGCCTCTGAAACAGCATTGGCATTTTATGTGAAGGCGAAGGAATCCGTCTCCAGAAGAGGAAGAAAATCCTCCTTCATCCGGGGATACCGATTTTTCATCCGGGACTACCGATTTTACCACACCAAAAAAAAAACGGTTTAGAAGACTTTCTGTTAATAGACTGAGAGTTTATGGTATAAGCATCTCATGCTGAGTTAGTTCACTAACTAGAAGGCAAAGAACAGAAGCAAGGTAAAATGATCTAGCAGATGTTTACAAAATGAAATTTTTTTTATTTGCCGTGTGTGACATTTTCAGAGTAGCAGAGAGGAACAAGGAACTGTCGAAGCAGCTGAATCTCCGAAACTGACAAAAAGTTCAGGATTGCAAATTGGTCAAGCTATAGCAACACCACTGGAGGGCTATATAGCACAGTTGCCAGTGCTTCCCGGTAAACATGTGTTCACTTAGTACTAGTAGAATTTCACAACAGCAAACGAAAGAAACAAACAAAGCGGGGGCTGCTGGATGAGTTTCCATGCGGTAAGAGTGAATTATCGGAGAACTTTTTACAGGAGGGTGCAGCACGAAAAATATCCATGGAAATACGGCAGTCCACCATACTGGCTCTATTTTCAGGGTTTGATTTTGCTGTTTCCTCTATTTGTTTAACGATTAGCAGTGCAAATTGCAGCCAGAAACAAGCGACTTTTTGAGGTGCGGATTAAATCGGCTCTCAAAATTAGTGAATATTTGTTGAACATTTTTGTACGAAACTGGCACAGTAATTAACAAAATCCTAAATTTGTTCTTTTTACTATTTTAAAATGCAGATTTTCTTCACAACAGTGAAGCAGTCGCGAAATTTTGAGTTTTTGCAGCTGTAGTGTGCAGAGATTGCGGAAAATTTTCACAGTAATAAAAGATTTTGAAAGTTTTAGGCAATATGAATGCCTTTTGCTGGTGAGAGCCTTTTTCGCGAGCACTGCTGAGAAATAGCAGTTTATCAAAAACTGTGAATGTTGGCCCCAGAGGCAGTGCGGGAATGGGATTGTAATAGTCAGAAAAGGAAGAAGCCAGAGAAGAAATGGCCCCATCAGGCTCTAGTAATGGGCCATAAGCCGTGTAATTTCGAAACTTGTTTCATGAAACTAGCAGGAGCACGCAGCAATTGGGCACTCAGCAAATAAGTTTTGTTTACACAGAATGGTATCAAAGTCCTGGAACGCCCTTAATAGCAGTTCATTTCGAAGCAGTGTTCCATCTTTAGCGCTTTCACGATTGGGCTGGTCGATGTTCTTCATGGTGCACGTGTAGCGATGACGAACAAATGACTTGCGCGAAATTGCCTTGTCTCGCCGATGCAAACTGCAGTACACCGCTTACTACAATTGGTATTTCAATTTTTATTTTTTCAGCATCTCGTGAAGATCTTACAAACTCCGACTAGTTACATGATCGTGATGTGGAATTGGCAGCAGATTACGTAGTGCCGAAACAGAACTGATACAAATCTTGATAGCTCTAAGCACAAGCTCGTCACTACCTGTCTCCAGATTAGCATTTTGCGAGCTCTATTGGGAAACACACTTTGAAAATCATGCAGCTAGCTAAACTAGTTACGCTTTGCGTTTAACATGCTTACATTGCCGTTAACAACTTCTTCGATATTAGCAAAATGAACAAAGTGTTACTGGTATTCTGTGAAGGGAGTGGGTCTGAAAATTAACGCATCGAAAACGAAGTTGACGCAAAGTGCTGGGAAGAGCGCTATCAAAACGGTGTTAACTTGAAAAAAGTTACAGCTACGTTCAACTTAACCAGGCATGCATTAAGCATGCATTAGATCCTCCAGCTGGAGACCGAAATTAGAATGGTTACAGGTTGGCGCGAATTTCATAATACTGTTTATTTTCTCAGACTGTTGAATCGGGAGGACCGTGCCCATCTTTTTAGCACCACTGAAGGCGGTATTTTTAAATACACCAGCGACCAAGCGGTGTATGGATGTCATTGTGCTTGCGCAAGCGAACAAAATATGATGAGCAGGATACATTACGCATATTACTGGCAGGACACAGACGTCTCTCGTATCAATGATTAGTAGCCGTAAGGAGGCAAGCACTCATTCGGGTCACTTCTGAACAGACGGTGCACATACATCGAACACGGGTGGGTTCAAAATGAAGGCATGCTGCTCAAGACCAAGTAACCTGGCCTACCTGCGTCAGATGCGTCGAAGCATCCCAACAATATCACTAACACGATTCTCCCACACCTATTATTCAAGATGGTCCTACTAATTTCGCAAACTGTTCTTAGCACAAGAATTTGCATCTATGCAATGTAATAACGCATATTGTCAAGGAGCTGTCTATGTGTTCGCCCGTACTGATTTTTCATTTCCAGACCTACAAAAGCTACAAGGCGAATCTTTAGCAACTTTATCTACATACATGTTGCCCCCTTCTCCATCTCCGAAATGAACGCTTTTGCCCACGTGGTTCCCACGTACGGATCCGCGAAAATTTTTGACGGGCAAGTTGCTAACTCGGAAACCAGAAAAGCTAGAAGGTTGAAATTTTAAGATAATGTTTTCTGATAGTCGTTTGGCCAGTTTCTATTCTTTTTGCTAGAAGCATCTGCCAGAAAAAACCGTACCGTTAGCGACAAAAACCTACGGGGAACTGAGCAAAAACGCATCTTTGCACCGGCAGTCGGTGCGCTGGTCAATTATTAACTGTTCCAGAGTATGGTGAGCGGCTGTACATGGAGAACCGTGGAGCATGCACTTGTGTGGCCGGTTTATTTGTTTGTGAAATGTCGGAAAAATCCCTGGAGCTCAACTCTGGTATGCCTAGGTGTCCTCGTTGTAGCATACCTCACCTTAAACTGTTTAAGCACAGTGAACTTCGATTTTGCTTTTTCTTTTTGCTTCATTATCATTGCTATAATTTTTGCCAGTGTCTTTTAGTAGTTTTATCAATGGCCTTCGGAAGCTTTTCAGGCCTTTACCTGTTGGTTGGTTATTCTGTTGAAGAAGCTGCTATGTTAAAGGAATCAATTCCAAAAAATGCGCTTGAAAGAGCTGGGTTTGTATCCGGAAATGACAACATCATGCACGATATTGGAAGCCGATTACAGCTAGCACTGGAACGTATAATGCCGCCAGTTAGTTTTGAAGCTTAACTATTTCAGGTAAGGACATCACATATTGTCTGTGGGGACTCACACCACATTGCTCCGCTCTCCCACATGCGATTGCCAAATTTACGGTACTCAGCGCTGGGGGGAACGCCAAGCTCACGAAGCAGTGCAAATTACGTGGCCAAACCGAGTTTCCGCAGAGCCTAGCACCAGCCTTCCCTTTGTTCCGAACCTTTGCTGTCGAAACCCTCACTATCCAGTCCTTTTCCCACTAATCACCCCCCTAAATCCACTCCATCCAACACTTAGGATGACGATTTCCATTATCAACAACATTTTCGCGCTTAATACATCATCTCATCAACTCCGGCTAGTTTGAAACAAATGGGCTCAATTTCATAAAATTTGCGCGTTGCCTGAGTCTGTATCGTTTCAGGATGTGTTGTGTAGGATAACGCTTCTTAAAGGGTTTCTGGAAGGCAATGTTGTGTATCAGGTGCAATGGTTTGGTGTGAACCGCTTTTTAAACGAAACTAGGGAGCGGTGGCATACCGGACAAGTGGAAAAAGTTTTTTTTTCAGAGATTTTGCAGTATTTACCGGTTTTCAAATAATTCCAAAGCTGTTAAAAGCAAAGTGCCGGCTAATACTTTTTCGAATAGGCAAGTAGCAATGATAATGGTACTTCTCAAAACAGTCAAGAATTGTTTATATAATAGAGAGATGTTTATGTTCTCTGAATAATGGGAAAAGAAATCCAGTACAGTTGCCAATACACAAAATAAATACTTATTCCACAGCACTAAGATACCAAATTCATAGCATCTACTAAAATGTATATGGTTTCACTGACTGAATTTTCCAGTCAGGTGCAGTTTGGAAAATTAACAAATCCATGACTCGTATGGGGATGAATCCATAGAAAGTTCAGGAGTCAGAAAATGAAGGAACGATACATCACAGATTCGAAAAATATTGGGATCTCGAACAGGCGCTTCCTAAATCCCTTCGAGTTGTCAGAAACAAGATACAAAATTGTTACATTTGAAAAAAACAAAAACTTGTTCTGCAAGAAATCCAAAAAAAAAAAACAGCCAACCGAAAAAAAAACGCAAATTTTCCATTCTTATATCTCGAAATGAAGAAATATTTATAAAGTCGCTGCCACTTATACTATTCAAAATTGGATTTTCGTTGCGAGCATCCTCTCTTACTGGTTCCAGTGGGAGGGAGGGAAGAAAGAAGGAAGGAAGGGGTTGATGGCAAATGTGAAGTTAACTCACGCACACTTTTGACGAGCCAAAAAAGCCAGCAGTTGCATACCGGCAGTGGGCGCAGATTTTTTAGTGTGAGTGATGAGCTCGCTTCATGATTTGTTGTTGAGGTATGCTCTCCGTATGTGGCACAACTAGCAAACGCAGTAATGTGGAATGAAGCGCTGCGATTCGAACTGGTGATCTCAACAGTGAAACAAATTCGGGTCTACGACTTGCTGGGCGGGCTCCCGGATTGTGCTGCTTTCATTCAACAGTCACTCGCCTTAGTCTTTCCAATACTCATTTTTCTTCGATTTTTCGTTACGTGATATTGCGTTCATTAGTATTAGTTCATATTCAACTGAAAGAGAAAGCAAACTTCTGGCACGTTTGCAGGGAACTACTCACTTTATAATTTACTATCAGTATACTCCGTAAAAAATGGGATCAATCCCACAGCCATTAGGAAAACCAGTCCCTCTGCGGTTCCTTGCTCTGATTCACTGGTCCGCTTGTGATAGTTTATTCCAGGAAGCCGGATTCAGATTTTCCAAGCAGTTCCCAGAAAAGAAGGTTATCGAAAGGTAGGTAGGCCAAAGGATGACTGTTGTTTATATCTTCCATTCGGCAATATTGCATGTGTTCAATTTGAAAAAAAAAAAAAAAGACGAATGCTCAGCTCATTTGCAAAGAGTTATTCACTTAGTAATTTATTGTCAGTATGCCCTGTTCGGCTGTATCAACTATCAGATACCCTGCTCGATTCGGTGGACAGTGAGAACCCTCACTGTTTTAACTGGAAAAAAGACCCTGTCCATGTAAGTATGCAATTGAAAAAAAGCAAATCTTAATTTATTTGAACCAATTCCAAGTGCCTTCACATCTTTCTAAAGAATAAAATTCGGAGGGAAGCCTGTTTTGCTGGTAAACTGCGAAAAAAGAGGATTAGATGGCAAGTACTAGACTCCGGAAATCCAGCCATAACCTCTCATCCAAAGCTGAGAAAGGTTAAACGCCCTATATGTCATCTGTTAATTGTAAATTTTCATAGTTGTTCTTGAGCTTATTGTGTAATTATAAAAATCCAAGTGCCTCAGAATGCTTTTTTCACAGAATACCGACCGCACTTTCCGCATGCCGCCCCACAGTTTTTTTTCGGCTGTTAGAGTTATCATTCTAGGTCGCCCTCATCGTTGATGTCGAAATCTGTCCTCTTCTGCTGCACCACATGACAAAATGGGCAAGCACCGGTTTTGAGGCAAGCCATCTCGAAATCATCTGCATGAAACATCTGAAAAAGAAATGTTGAAATCGCGCATCTAACAACTAGATATCAGAATCTAATAACTTCGATATTTCGTACAATTTCCGCATTCGCGTGGAATGCAAGAGGAGGAGATGAACATTCATAAACATTTCCAAAACGGTTTTAAAAAATTTTTCATTACAAACCACATTATCGCGCTCGTAGTCAGAAAACTGATTGTTTTGACAGTTGACAGAGAATGGAACTGATAGTAAATTTCAAGAATATCAAGACCAACCGAGCCGAGCGATACAGTACGTTATGTCATATTTGCGCTGTTATTAGGGTGTTTCCATGCTGGTCACAACTATAGCAGCCCTACCTATTTAGTGCCTTCATGGAGATGACAATAAATCGTTCAAAAAACGTGCATAGGATAAGCGGAATGGCTTATGTGGTACAATGCACTTTATCCAACGATCTTAAATTTTTCCAAAAGAAACAAGCTTGAAAACTTCTATTAGAAAAAGCTTGCTAACGAAAAGCAGCATAAATTATTTCTTTTGGGAACACTGATGAAATAGCAAATAATTAATGTCAGGCGACAGAGGACTACCTCGGCTACGTATTTTTGCGGTAAACTTTAACGCACACAAGGGCGTGTAAAAGTGCTACTACGCCAAGATTTAGCCGCAATAAACTTTCGACTTATCCAGCGGTTGTCAGTTAAGAATTCTTACCATCATATTCTTACAGAGCCTCAAGCTGGATTTCTTACGCCAAAGTGCAAGTTTGAAGTTGACTTACTGCATTCTCGCTCTCTAATTCCTCGAAATTTTCAAATTCTAGCTTTATTTTTTAGGCCAGAGAGCGTAAATTGAAATACAAAGACTTCCGAAAGTTATTTTTTAATCTGTTTAACATGCAGCTAATCAAGAACTATGCCACCAAGATCTCAGTTTTCAAAATTTCTTAATCTTACACTTGATCGGACAAATGCAGGCAGATCTCATCGTTAAATGTTTCTGAAGATATAAAAATCAAAAGCAACAAACGTGATGACACGAACTGCACTGTGATATTGATATTTCCGGTATGATATTGTAATAAAAACGAGTAAAAAGAGGTGGTGGCCATTCGGCCACTATCACTTGCCGCCTATCCAAATTTAACAACGTTTCACGGTTCGCCACAATCTTTCCAGTTTTTAGATTCATCTGAAAGACCAGTTCATAAATCTGAAAAAGAAAATATAATGCCTATGCCATTAACTAGCTAATCAGCTCTCCAACCACCAATTCTTCGTTTGCCTTTTTTCCACGATGATCGGTGGATCTTCGGACCAATTCACTTTACATTCCACGCTTTTAATTTTTAGCTTAACTATGCTTCAAAGAATTTGCTTCAGACAACATGTCGACTATTTTTGGGTACTTAGAAGTGTAAAATAAAGAAAATTCTTAACAGGCAAACATCCTCTGGAAGGAACTGTGCACGATGGCACTGGCTACACCGGTGCGATCGCTATTCATTTTTAAAAATAACCTGCTGTTTGAGAGGATTTTCAGCTTGGTCAAACGGAGTTTCTGCGTCAATTAGCTGTCGCGCCTCTTGCAGATCAATGTCATCACCGACGACAAATTCGACTAGAGGGAGAACTTCTGAAACCGCCGGATTTGAAAAAGTGATTTATTTACCATCTCATTTGTCATGCGCCATCATCATTATTTAATAAGTTGTTGTGGACATGCGACGGTTAAGTGCAAAACTGCAAGAAAAACTATCTGATTTTGATTTACCTTCTTGAAGTTTTGACTCATTTGACGCAACAAATTGTTAATATTTTGATTTACTGCTTATCTTTTTTTAGAGTTATAATAAAAAAATTCATTTGGATCACTGCTCAAAAGCGCAGCACATAAAAAAACCTGATGCGTTCAAATTTTTCATTCACGACTCCTTGAAAATATACGCCTTAATCTGGCTCTCCGATCATGTGTTAAAAGCCAATAAAATTTGGATCCAAACTATAAGAGTATTTTATGAGCCAAATCCCAAAAATTCCCGCATTTTTGCATTTAGCTCCACCAGTTTGAGTATGAATTTGAAAACACAGATGAGAATAGATTAAAAAGTTGATTTTACATATTTTGCAAAATTTCATCTTCGCAGTTTTTGCTTTGAACCATTCAACAAACAAACAAATCCATGATCGTTGTTTTATATAAAATCAAATACAAAATGCATTCAAATGGACTTGCCAAATGAAACGAACGATAAAATGAATGGTGTTTTGCAATGTATGCATTCATTGCCACCAACAAGCGGATTCGACATTCCACATCTGAAACTACGCCATCTGTATCGAAAAGGAAAAACATGTCGTCGAGCAACACTGTCAAATATGCTGACGAAATAAGTCAAAGTAAAATGTATTTCACCTGTAGCACATCGGCAATAAGTCATCTGCATCAGTGAACGGCTTCGATCTAATCATCAGTGCAGCAGATTCAATGAGCTTTTCAAAACGTAGTGGAACATTCAAATGACTTAGTTGTTCCAGTGAGTATCGAGCTAATTTATATGCACCCAACGTTTGTCCTTGCTTCAGCAGTGTGTACAGTATACTCCTGTAACCGCCATTCTCAAGTTTCTAAGTTTCTGCGTTACTCCAATGCCAATTTCAACGTACGGCAGTCGATTTACATTTCCCTCATTTGTGAGCATTACTATTTCGCGAACTTGAGCAGCAATTCCTATTGGCGATACGCTACCGCTTTTTTACAGCACAAAGCTCAGACAATTCTCAAAATGTGGAGTCGAAAGTACGCTGTCCACCTCCTCAATAGCACTACGCTGAAGGTAGTGACGCACGGATGCGAAACTAGTCGTTAATTAAAGTTGAAAAGCGAGTGCTGGCTATGACGGAGAGGCAGTGGAGAGAACCTGTAGGCGACGCGTTTTAGTGACTGGTACCAACAAGAAAGTAAACGACCACTCGAATGAGCTTTGAAGAGGTGGGACACATAGATCGAACAAGCAGTAGGTTCTAATAGGAGATATGCAACTCAGGATCGACCGACCTGGCTTAGCTGCAACCCGCATGTAGGAGCACCACTAACGTGGGATGCCCACTCTTACTGCTCGAGCGGTCACGGTATTTTTAGCTTAAATATTCGAGTGCTCCATGTATCATGTCCAGAAATATATGGAGGCCAGAATTTATATGAGTATTTTTTACAGGGAAAATGTCAGGGAAAGGAACTTTACACTCGTGATATTTTGTAAATTTCTTCCTGAAACGCCAAATAACGAGCGATATTGACCAATGCTTCAGCAGGAGAGCTCGTGAAAGGCTCGGCCTAAAATAAATTTGCGTGATTATGAACAGTTGCTAAACGTATAACAGCGAAAAGAAAATGAATTCAGAAATTGCTCAGAAGTCTCGCTTTCAAAGCTGATCCTGACAAGCCTTTGCATGGCAACCTGCACACAATAAAATGTTGCATTTCGTTTTACACAGACGCATTCGGCGCACTTTCAATCGATGCATTTTATAATAAGCCATGGCACATTATGGATTGTTTAAAATAAAATTTTAGCAGAGTAATTCAGTGACAAGTTATTGTCAGACCTTACCAGATACTTATGGATAACATCAAATGCATAGTAGCAATCTGCTTTCTTACTGCACTCCGAAAATTTCTCCAAAAATTGGGGATTTGTTGAACTCCGCTCCAAATACTGGATACTCAGCATCCAGTGATAATAACCCGCATCCAGAAAACGATTTTCTCTAATAGCATTTTCAGTAAGTTGCTCTAGCACCCATAGCGCTTCAACATCGTGTCCAGCCAAATGGTACGCTGTAAAATGCATGCACTTTACTAAATTTTATTTCAAATACAAACGGAAAGGAAGCAATAGAAGAGCTATCTCTGTCCGAAGCTGATTAATGAGAGTTCATTATTAAATCGGCTCGTTATAAGGCAGTAGCTTCTCTGTGATCACAGTGGTTGATGTGACAAAACAAACAGGGATTTAAAGTACAATTCATAGTTTGAGTGATTTCCAGATATTTACAAAATGAAGAAATCCCCTCAAAAATTTCAAGATTGTATCTTCATTGTTCTTGTGTTATAAAATTTACCCGGATTCAAATCTGGTGTGAAAAGACAATACATACAGTGAATTGAATTTTGACTTTAATTTTGAGCGCTCACGGGTGGTCGAGGACTTTGTCCAGCTTTCTAATTCTCATAGTTCCGGAGGCGAAACAAATGATGCACAGATGTAGCACAAATAAGCACTGAAATCAGAAATAAAAGACAAACCTTTCTGGGCCTCATCAAAACGATCGCTTTCAGCCAGCCAGCGAGCGTAGGGCAAATAAACCTCTTCTGTGTATTTTGGGTACCTCGATGCAATTGCAAAAGCCTGAAATGGCAACACAATACCACTCCCCCACGGATCATTTAAAGTTGCTGGGTCATTTCGGCCAAAAGTGATGCCGACTGTTCGATCATTAACGTTTGCTCCAGCTGCTGGCCAGCAGATTGCTGTTTAATAAGCCACCAAAATCTTTACGCTAGTTGGTACAAAATGCGTGGAAAAGTAAGTTATAACACAGTTGGGTTGTGATTAGTAGCTGGACGTTATGTGCATTTTTGACCAATTATACGCGCCTTTGATGTTAGAATGCTTATAACAGCTGTAATCCATAACTTGGCTTAATTGTTTTATTTGTTTAGGAAAGTAGATTAATGTGGTCTCTAAATTATTTTTGATATTTAACACTTTTTCGCTGTCCTCTATTTGTTGCGTCAGGCTCACCGGCAAGTTGGTCACTAGGGTAATGCAGCATTAGTCGTAAAGACTGGGAAAGCAGTCAACCGCATAGTTTGCGTCAACAATAAATTAACAATTCGACATTGAAATACGCAAGTGGAAAAAAAAAAAAACCAAAATCCCACGTCATTCCAATGCTCTGCGTTAACGTGCATGTTGACCAGAGAACGGATATCATTTATAGAATGAAACAGCTGCGATGCGAGCATAAATTCTTTCTTTTTTGCCAAATAATTTCCTATCGTTCGCACAGCATCCACGTTACTCCGATCAATACGATGCGTGAGACTGATCAGCCTACAACGAGCAGCTGCTTATAGTTTCAATGCATTTTTATGCGTTTTTTGCAGCTATGCAATGCAGAAAACGCATATTGACGAGAGGTTGTCTGT